AGGTTTTGTCTAATTCTTATCAATTTATAAATTTATATACATTGGTTTATAAAGACTATTAATTTTTTGTGCAGCAATACTTTCTGCAACCTATTATGTTTATTTTCACTTTGTTTAGGGGTCTTTTGCCATTCAAAATATTTACTTTTAAAATTGGATATAGGAAAATACATCTAACATTTTCTTTATAGAGACTAGGTTTCCTAATTTAGAAAACTTTGACCCATCCAAAACATTTCATAAATATACACACAAGTGTAATTCTATTATGTATTCTATATATTTCATTTAAATCTCCAATGGTATATTCATTCTACCAGCCTCCTACTGGTGACTTCGGTTTGTCTTCTTAACCAACGCCCTGCCTCCAAGCACCACCATCTAATCATTCATTAGAGTTTGTAGCTTCTACCTGCAAAATGTCTTGCATCCAACCTTTTCCTTTTTTTTTATTTGTAATTTTTATTTTTACTGTTGCCAATTTAATCCAGGCCCACATTATCTATGACCTGAAATGTTTATTACAAAAGTATTTCTAGACTCCACGATGGACCTGAATCAGGCATTAGATAATTATTTCATAAATTTTTCACTGTATCCTTTTATTTTCAAAGTCATAATTCACTGTCCTTTGTTTAATGGCATTTAGCAGATAACTGGCTCAGTCATAGATTGTGTGGCATGTTGTCCTGTGTGGTGGAAACAAGACATCAAACGTCCATTGATTCATTCAGACATGTATTTTAAGTATCTACTATTTGCCAGACAAGATACTAAATTCTGGGGATTCAAGCTTTGAAAAAAAGAAATCCAGGTAAGTCCCTGCACTCATGGGACTTACATTTTAGTGGCTACATCTGGGTTTGAATCTTAGATCTAACATTTTTAGATTTGTAGTCTTAGATAAACATTTTACTTAACCTTTCTAAGCCTCTGTCCTTTTATCTGTTAAGAAAATAAGTGGGGAAAGGGAGAGAGGGAGATATATTACATACCGTGAAGGCTCTTTTAAGAAATAGGAATTAGATGGGCTGATGGTTCATATGATTCAGTCAATAAATGTTAGCTCTTTTTTTTCCTGACATGTATATTTTATCTTTTTTGTAAAGTTTGCCTTACTCACATATTGCCTTACTCTTACCCCACATATTTGGGTTGGTTTTACATTTTGGCCCATAATACCCTTTCCAGTTTATTACATAATGCAAAAGCTACACATTTTTAGTATTTGCTCTCTTCTTTCATTCTGAAAACTTGTTGAATTTGCATTCATACTTAACAATAAAGCAGAACTTTAAAATACTAAAAGATATTAAGACTTCATCTGGGAATAAATTGAGAATAGTAATAAATAGGAAAATAAAAAAATTTTGTATTACTTTATAATTTTGTAACCAAATGTAATTTTTATTTTTTCTTCCCCAAATTAGAAAAGTTTAAAATGCAAAAAAATTAAAATTA